TAGAAAGACGCATACAAAAGGGGACTGAAACAAAGCAAAATTATGCGAAAAAAACCTAACAGAACATCCACAACGTGAAAGCGAGATAAACGAAAAGAATGCGATGATCACGAAAGAATGCACGCACAAACGAAAAAAATAACAATTAAATGCGGCTGCAACATATCCTGTTTTCTCGCGAAATATTAGGAGAAATTCCGAACCAAAACAATATTTAACTTGAATTTGCACAAATTTACTTGCTTGACGGTTTCACCATAAAGCTGTTGTATATTTTAGTTTCTGATTGAACAATTTTAGGTACAGCAACTGGATTCGACTATAGAAGTTGTATTTACATTGGCTAATGATATGGAACAGAAATTCAACAACTTCACGAACACTACTGAGGCAGCCTTTAAACTGGTGAGGCTTGACTTGTGATACACAATTGAATGATAAACTTCTTCTGTACGCAATTTGGTGCGCTACAGTTTCGAAGTTCAATGTATTAGCATTTGAAACTCGGAATAAGGATAGGCCATTGAGATCTCTAACTTCATTGCTTTTACATTTATACTTTTTAACAGAGAGCGAAAGAGCTTCAAATGCTAAGGAAAGACCTGAACTCAACTAGGAGTGAGTTGCAAGCTGCAGATAGTGATTTTCAGAAATCTTTGTCAGATGTCAACACAACCCTGAAAACAAGGGTAAACCAGTCTATTCAGTACTCTTTATGTTTGCCGTTTATTATTTTTTTAGAAGACTCCTTACCAAAAATATTCGTAAGGTACCGGATTTTCAATTTCTGTTTTTAAAATTAAACAAGAGTTGTTGAACGACGGTTGAACGAGAACCAATGAAGTCAATTAAGTGATCGAATTGCATGTACCATAAGCATCATAAGTGTTTGTAGAGCAAATTTAACGTTACACTAAGAAACGTGCAATGCAAAGACGCAACTAGCGAACTATCCCGGCTATATTTAATGACGAGATATCAACCCAGATACGCAGGCCGACCCATTTGATTATTTTTCACACCAGATATGAAAACTTACCCACCTGCAG